TCTTTTCAAAAAAAAAAAAAAAGTCTGATATGATGCTTCTTTTGGATGCTTAAGAAGAATTGACTTGATTTACTTTGAAAGTCTGCCTAAAAAAAAGTATCAAGTTTTTGTGTATTTTTATCAAGAAAGCCACACATGATTATGATTTCATTAAATTCATTTATATGTATGGTTACTTTTCCAGCAAACATACACTTATATATAGATAAATATCTATGTAAATCAGCAAATATAATTATACTGGCATGTCATGCCTGCATTTTTAGAAGTTGACGCATCTTCAGTTCCTGTCTACATCAACATACGACATGAGTGGCCAGAAGTCAATAGGTGTATCTTGACTATATTTGGCAGTGTCCATGTCTAAGGCAGGAGGTGGGGATGGTGGTGAGGTGCATGAATGTCCTCAGCAGGAGGTGGTGTTGATGCTGATGGCACGACCTTACTACCATGACGTGACAATGTTATCAGTTTCCATGGATGTGGATGCAACCTCACTCTTGGGAAACATGTATTCTGGATGGAGTGTGACACCATAGCTCCTTACCTGTTGTCTGTTTGGAAATCTTATCCCTACCAAGTTGTTTAGGATGGCCTCCTACTCTCCATGGCCTGTGATTGATGTAGGACATGGGTGAGTCAAACTAATTCTAGGAAAGAAATCCTAACCAAATAGAAAAGGTAATCAAATCTAAATCTAATAAAATAAGTAAACCAAATCCTAGTCAAACAAGAAATCCTGAAAGTATAGAAAACTTAGAAAACAAATTAAAAACGCAGAAATCATCCATTGCTCCAAAATTGCAGGATTGGAAGACCCAATTAAATAATTTCCTCTTCCATTCAACCTCCACCAGCTTATTTTCTTTTACATATTATTTTCTGTATTTTCTTTTTCAAGTGAAAATATTTTTGTTTTGATCATTTTTGTTTAATCTTAGTGAGTACTATGATTCTTGTTTTGTGATTAATTCTGATCCTAAGCTTGACTTTTGTTTTTATTTTTCCTTGTTAGACATTTTTTGCCTGTGGTTTGTTTCTAAATCAGGGTCGTTGTTTGATCTGTAATTTCATTGGTAATAATTATTTATTTTTTGCGAATAACTTGAATGTTAACTTTATCTTTTTCCTAATATTATTAATTGTAGCGAGGTGGAGTGGATTGAGCTTTGAAATTTTAGACACATGTTGGGGTTGGAGTATGAAATGTTCCAACAGGGGAGGGTAGGCCCCAAGATTGGTCGGGTGTTGGAGAAGGATAAATGAGCTGTTGCTATATTTGGCCGCATGATTATTTATTCATTCACATGTTTCGTATATATTCTTTCTGATATCAACTTATTCCAGAATCATTATTGTTCCCCAATGATCCTTAACTTTGTATTATTTTATGCTCTTCTGTTACTTTGCTTGAGATTCTGAAGAAACAAAACTGTGTTAAATTTTTTTATTTGTTGGAGAAAAAGAAGAAAATAAAGAATGTGTCATCAACCCCAACTTAGTCTTGATACGCTTTTCACTTTACAGGAGAAAGATGCGCAGTGCGTGTACGGATTGCTGTTGTATAGTCTGGATCGCCTATACCATGCTGTCGAGAGACACGCAAGAGCAACCGGTGAATGGCAGTGGTTAGTTTCAGATCGCCATATTTACATACTATTACTGTATTTTAATGCTGTAATTTCTTGTGCTTTTTGATGAAAATAGCTTACTTGAGGGGTTGAGGGATTATTTTGAAGTAAATTCTTTTATTTGGAAAAATAGCTTACTTGTTGTATCATGAAACAGGTTGAGTCAAGATATAATTGATTTGGGGAAGCCCAGCCTCCAAACTGAATATAAACTCAGAGTGACTGCACGCTTGGAACGAGCGTATGACTGTCTGCTTCCTTCATTGAAACGCCAGTAGGAACCTTTTCCCGTCCTTTTCCTGTGTGTAAATTGCACGTTAGAAAATTTTGTGAACATAATGATTATTGTTCTTTTTTTCCTTTTTCCTTCCTCAATGACTAAAGTAGCAACAATACACTAAGTTTCAATGACTAGAAGTACTTGAGTAACAATATTTGTTTTGCTTTCTTTTTTGTGGCTTTGAATTTTGTTTTTTTGTTTTTTTTGGGACAAAGCTTTGAATTTGGAATGGTAAACTTGTTTTTCATTTTTGGTTAATGCCAATTGACATGGTAAATCAGTTTTATTTTGCGTCACATAAAAGCATAGTTGACCATCAATTCATTAGTGGTTGATTGACAACAACACTCTAGTAGAGGGTTTACTTATTTTGGCACCAGAACATAGAGAGCTTAGTGCGAATATAACTAGTGATAACTGTCATTTTGACGCAGTGAACTATTATGATGGTGTGTCAATTTTACCTCGCACATTCTGTTAAGAGTAGTTCCACCGCAGGAGTCCAGCCCGGGCAAGCCCCAAGGCAAAATGAGCCTAAGTTCTTGTCCGCGAGTGATGATGTCAATGAAGAAAATAATTTTTAAAAAACCGAAAAAAATTCTGAAAAATAACCAAAAGATACAGTATATTTTTTTTATACATACATAGTAATTTTTTATCATTATTAATCTCATGATGGCAATGGGTGGAAAAGCAACAAAAATATTGCTAGGCAAATATTATTCATGTGAATAGTAACCGCCCTTACTTGCCCTTTCCCTTTGCCATGGCAAATTGATGGAAGTGCTCTTAGGATTCAACAGTTTACTATTGACACCCAACTTTTTACCCAACCGGCGAGTGCAAAAGGAGGGGAAGGGATGGTTGTTAGCTATGTTGGGGTGTAGAAAAACTTGTGTGAATGGGTGTTATCCTCAGCTAATCATGCTATGTCAAGTGAAAAAATTATTACGTGTGGCATAATGTGATTGGCTGGGGATAACAAAATAATGTTGTCCCTGTTGCACACAAGTGTTTCTCATCAGGGTGATGTACCATCCGCACCTGGGTTGGGTCTACTAGAGCGTGTGTATATGGCATTGGTGTGGGGTCGGGTGGGTGTTTGTGTTTTGATCTTTTTCTTATTCTATTTTATTCAATGGTAAAATGAGTTGAGTACAAATAAAAAAAGAAAGGGTAAATTTGAATTTACTACTCGGAACTTCACAGAGTTTCAACCTTTACTACCGAATTTTTTTTTTGGTGTCAACTTCATACTCGAACTTTGGTTTCCTATCACTTTTATGCATCTGTGAGTTTTCCCATCAAGAAGTTGGAAAATTCTACAGTGCGCCACTTATTATAGACCATTGGATGAGTAGCTGGGGCATGTGGGGTAATCCAAAGCGTTGATTGTTGGTTACCGGTTAAATTGGTTGCTGTAGGTAAAACCAAATAAAAAATACTTGCTCTCTCAGTAAGAGACATTTCAAGTTTAGGGTTGGGTTTTCATTTCTTTCCCTTCGAGTTCGATTCCTTCCACAGCAGCTCCTCTCCTCCTTCTGTGACGATGAGATGATGCCCACGACCACATCTCCTCTCCTCTCAAGTAGGTCATGCTCCTTCTTCTCCTTCTTCATTTCGTTCTCCTTTCTAGGGTTTTTGGTCTGGGTATCTTCCTTGTTGCTGCTGCTTCATCGCTGGTTTCTTTGTTTTGTTTTTTTAGGTTTTCATAGTTATGATTTCTCTGTCTCACTCTCATCTGGATCTCTGTGGATGGCTTTCTCTCAACCTCTCTGTGGTAGGTAAGAACTCTAATTTTCTCCCTCTCTTTCTAACTGTGCGATTTAGATGATTCACATCATAGCATAGAGTATTTCAACTTTGAATTTTGGTCTAGGCTTTCTAACAAAATGATTTATATGTCCTATTTTAATTTAGGGTTTAATGATTTGGGTATTGAATCGCAAGTCCTTATTTATTTATTTTGGTAATATTTTGGATTTATATAGGAATTTGGTAATTTTTTGAAATTATAATTCTGTTTTTTTTTTCTTTCGAATTGTTCTCTCTCCCACCTCTCCCCTTTCTCCCTCTCAGATATACGTTGCTAATTTCTTACTTTTTTTATTATTTGAATTTGAGGGTAGGAAGCTTGAGAGTTGTTCATTCTTGATAATGATATGGGACTTTAAATTGATGGCCTTGAGACTGCATATTGTTCAAACCAAAAGCACTGGGTTCTTGAAGGAAGATGCTAGACGATGGAGCATCCATTTTAGCCTTGAAGAGATATTGCAGGTTTCTGTTTTGTAAACTCTGTGTATTCTGTGTTTGATAACTTGGAATTTTATGTACTCTGTTTACTTGAGATCTTAATGTTAAAATAATGATCTAGAACTTGAGATAGGATTGAGACATTTATTGTCCTCCACGACAATGGAGCAAATTGGTGTCCATTACAACCCATGAGATCCATGACTTCTTATAATGTATTATTTTTGTGCTTGAGATAATTTAGTTTGAATTTTAGAGTAATATCTTTAGTTTCTTATGTAGTTTTAGAGATGCTCAACAACAGAGCATAGAATGTAGGTGTTGTAAGTTCTTTGTCCAATCTTCATCTTTGACATGAGTTATGCTATAGAATTTCATTGATAAAGTGACTGAAACTGATTAGTGATCATTCATACATCATTTTCATGTTCATGTTCAAAAGATAAACAATTGATCATTGTCTCTTAATGCGTCTAATTCTTCGACTTTTGAGCCGTCCACCATCACAACTGTGCTCCTCTTTTTCCCAACTTTTTCTCTGCATTCACAAAAACAAAAAAACAAAAATGCTATCATTGATGTGAATTTATGAATTTGAATTTATCTTCTTTTATGTATGAATTTGAATGTGTGAGATGATTCTCATCTTTGGCAATGTGTGAAATCATTGAACTCTCTGGCCTTCTAGGGGTTGATTTTAGGGAAAATTCTACAGTGGACCTGGCGCATCCATGCGCCAAGTCCTGTTCACCGTTAGATTTTGTTAAAATTTCTTGGGTAAATCCACACCATTGAATGGGATAACCTGAAAACCTGCTCACCAGGTTGAAAGAAAATTCCCAACCTGTCAAAACCTAAGCTCCCTCTTCACTCACTTCATCTTTCTATCTCTCGCTCTCTCTGATCCCAAACCCTCACTCTCTATCTCATCTAAATCCCTTTTCCTCTTCGTTTTCAGACTTAACGCCTGTGCTCCTCTCTCTTTCTCTCATCTCAGCCTCCTTCTCTCATGTAGGGCGTCAAGGATCTGGCCAAAATGACGCTGGTCATGAATGAGAGCTATGCAGACCGAAGGCTTCCTCACCATCGCAACCCCAAAGAGTTTGTTCCATTGGACCATTTGGCAGGTCAATTTTATGTTTTTCTCTTCCATCAAGATTACTCTCATTAATTTTCCCTTAATATGGATTATTATAATTGATTTTGTATTTAACAAGTTGGTGGGTGCTGGTGTTGCAGATCTTGAGTGGTGTGAAGGAGAATCTGGGTCAAAGTTTTCGAGCCCGGTCAATGAATCTAATAGCCAGGATTCATCACTCATTGCTTTGAAGCTAGGGAGGTTGGCTGATAGCAAAAATGGGCAGAATGGTCAACATTCTAAAGAGAGGTCTACAAGAGCTGGCATTAAGGGTTCATACTCTCACACTCCCACGCGGCAAGTCCTTGTTTGTAACATGGATCTTAGCTCCTCAAAGGATTACCACAAGAGGCATATAGTTTGTGATACTCACTCCAAGACTCCTAAAGCGATTGTTAATGGCATTGAAGTTAATGTGACTCCGTCAGAGGAGAAAACAGTTGATGAAGAACCATTGGTGTTTGCCAATAAGCAGGTACACATATTTGATTTTATGTCTTTGTCCAATTTTTCATTGCCGTGCCTGTTCAAAGAATAATATGTGTATAATTATGTTCTCTTTTTGGAGGCAAAAAATGCATTTACAGCACTTCTGGAATCTGCAAATGTTCACTCCGATTGGACTTGGGAGCAGGTAGCTTGGCTATTCCATTCGGATTATCACCATCTTTTGTTGTTGAAGAGTCTTCTAACAGTTTTTGAAATGTTATATCAGACAATAGTGCGTTGAAAACTCTAGGTGAGAGGAAGCAAGCATTTAATGAGGTAATCTTATTAATGATTTCTTAACTGCTTTAGAGTCTTGGTCGTTCTTTTGTTTATTTGCACAATTCAAGACTACTTTTATTTCATTAGAATTGTGCACTGCTCAATGACTCCCCCCCTAATTAATATTCATGATTTTTATCAAGAATATTTCGCATCATTTTCTGACCTAAAACTAATGAGATTTATTAATTTAGTACACTCCGATTGGACTTGGGAGCAGGTAGCTTGGCTATTCCATTCGTATTATCACCATCTTTTGTTGTTGAAGAGTCTTCTAATAGTTTTTGAAATGTTATATCAGACAATAGTGCGTTGAAAACTCTAGGCGAGAGGAAGCAAGCATTTAATGAGGTAATCTTATTAATGATTTCTTAACTGCTTTAGAGTCTTGGTCGTTCTTTTGTTTATTTGCACAATTCAAGACTACTTTTATTTCATTAGAATTGTGCACTGCTCAATGACTCCCCCCCTAATTAATATTCATGATTTTTATCAAGAATATTTCGCATCATTTTCTGACCTAAAACTAATGAGATTTATTAATTTAGTACCGGGAAGATCTTTATGAGAGCTACATTGTAGAATTGGAGAGGAAGGTAACAATTTGCCTTTCATTTTTCATTTTCTGACTTATGCTATGCACCATTTGTAGATATCGTATTGTAAATTAGGGCCTTATATTTGACTCTTGATGTTATTAGAAAAGATTTTTGGTATCAAGTAGATAGGATTGAGAATTGCCTCTACATGCTTTAAACATGAATTATGTTGAAGAACCACCAATTGGACTGGTGGTATTGGCTTATTGGCTTGCTGTCTCACTTATTGTCCAGTTCTCCACTTGTTCTAACTCCCTTCAATTTGTGGATTTGTTTAAATTTGCATTTTCCAACTGTTGAATTTGCTTTGGTAAAACCGCCTTAAATGGTATCCTCATTTTCATTGCCCTTTAGGTGTACAAAACTCCATGGGGTGCTCATGTTACTTAATATAGATGTTGACACTTCCTAGATTGTAGGGAATATAAACTGACAGAAAAGAATACAATTTTGAGTTCTTTTCTCAATCAAAAGCAATAAAAAACTACTGAGATACATTTATCTTTTAGAGTGAATTTATTGCCATGTATTAGTATTCCATTGTCATTCTCGTTTGGAGTGGGAAGATTAAAATTAGTGGTCTCATGTCACAGAGGATGCCTTTTCTTACTACCTAGGTTTCGATTCTTATATGCAGGAAAAAGAACAGGCGGCTGAAGAGCATAAGCAGAATATTGCATAGTATAGAAAATTCTTGGAATCTTGTGACTTTATCAAGGTAAGCCTTGTAAAAGGAACGTGTACATGTATTTTATTATGACTGATTTTATCTATTACCTTTTGTCATGATCATCATTCATTTGCAGGTGAACAGCCAGTGGCGGAAAGTTCAAGATCGCTGAGAGGATGATGAGAGATGCTTGCATCTTGAAAAACTTGACAGGTTGCTCATTTTCCAGGTAGATCACATAATCTATGTTCAATCATGTGTGTGAGAAGATTGGTTGTGTTCATGTACCAGAACTATATGATGTTTTTTTTGTTGTTGCAGGACTATATTCGCGACCTTGAGAAGGAAGAAGAGGAGCAAAAGAAGGTACAGAAGGTATAATCCATATAAATGATAATTTATCTTTCTTCTAATTTAATGTTCTTATCTTTGTGTTTCGCTAAATTTAAGGAACAATTGTGGCGGGTTGAGAGGAAAACCGCAATGAGTTTCGAAAGCTGATGGAAGAACATGTTGCCGACGGTACTCTTACAGCTAAAACTCACTGGCTCGATTACTGCATGAAGGTGCTCAACTCTAGTTGTTGTGGAGATAATATATGAAGAAGAGCTGCATAGTAAATCAAAAGACAAATGTTTGATTGCTTCTGCATCTGAAGCACTTTTGATAAGTGTTGTCTTTGGATTGTAGGTTAAAGACCTGTCTTCGTATGAAGCTATTGCATCTAATACCTCTGGTTCAACACCAAAAAAATTGTTTGAGGATGTTGCTGAAGAATTAGAGAAACAGGTGTGTAACCTAGCATCTTATACCATCATGTCTTGATCCATTAATCATCTGTATTTTAGCTAATGTTGAGAATAGAATCCGACATTGTGAATGTAAATATAATGTGATTTGTCAATGCAATTGGCAAACAGGTAGTGCCATTTGCATTCCAGTCGTGCAATTGACAAAGAAAGTAGTCTCATTTGCAATCCAGTTGAGCAATTGCCATTATATGTGCTCAATTAATTGAAAATGTAAATACAATATGTGATTTGTCAATGCAATTGACAAACATGTAGTGTAATTTGCATTCTAGTCAAGCAATTGACAATCAAAGTAGTCTCATTTGCATTCCAGTCGCCCAATTGTCATTATCTGTGCACAATTATGAAACGTAAAATTTCTCACTAATGATAAATCCTTTATAATTAATTGTATGTTCAAAAGGTTGTAATCTATGTGCAAAATCCTTCATATTAAGGATAAGCTTATTTCCGAAAAAAAACATTTGAATTGATTAAGGGTAAAATAAATATAAGTTATAACAAATGGAAAGTATTAGGTCATACGGATCGACATAAATTAAGTTACAAAGTATTAGAATTTCACATATTAACTTTTATTGTTAAGAATTATTATTTTTTGGTTAAATCATGTCTCACTTTTAAATAATGATGGGAAATTTGTCTCACGTTTGTCCTTTGATATAAAAAAAAATTAAAAAGTCTGCTTTACCATATATTATTGAATCGATACCCATCAATTGCCTATTTTGCTTTCACTCAGCCCCATCAAGTTGACAATCGATAAACAGACAACACGTAATTACCATTCCAATTTGCGAAAACCGAGTGCCTGATTGGCAATTATGAAACTCATGGTTTTATAAGATTTTGCATAAACTTAACAAGGTTTCGGACCTCGCATGCCCCAACTATGATAAAATAAGTCCTTGATTTTGTAAATCCTTGTTTTTACAAGAATGAGGAGCAATTTTACTTGTTCAAAGCCCAACAATTAATGAATATTGTAATGGAGATCATTTTTATTGTAAATTACGCTATTACAATATTATCGATGAAAGTGAACTTTAAAACGATGCCAAAGCTTGTAAATTTTAACATAAATCTTGTAATTTACAAGATTAGGGATCAATTTTACAATGTTATGGAACAGTGATGTGCCCAACACTCTAATAAATTTTACCCTCATTCCTTAATCTTGTAAAACATTTTTTACTAGAATAATGACCCATTTTTATATGTTTATCTTGAAAATACAAAATTGAGGACCTTTTTTTTTTACAATATTATGGATCTTAGTATTCCATAAACTTGTAAAATGTATCCATAAACTTGTAATATCATAAATAGAAATGATCTCTATTACAAGATTAGAGATGCCTTTGATATAAAAAAAATTAAAAAGTCTGATTTACCATATATTATCGAATCAATACCCATCAATTGCCTATTTTGCTTTCACTCAGCCCCATCAAGTTGACAATCGATAAACAGACAACACGTAATTACCATTCCAATTTGCGAAAACCGAGTGCCTGATTGGCAATTATGAAACTCATGGTTTTATAAGATTTTGCATAAACTTAACAAGGTTTCGGACCTCGCATGCCCCAACTATGATAAAATAAGTCCTTGATTTTGTAAATCCTTGTTTTTACAAGAATGAGGAGCAATTTTACTTGTTCAAAGCCCAACAATTAATGAATATTGTAATGGAGATCATTTTTATTGTAAATTACGCTATTACAATATTATCGATGAAAGTGAACTTTAAAACGATGCCAAAGCTTGTAAATTTTAACCTAAATCTTGTAATTTACAAGATTAGGGATAAATTTTACAATGTTATGGAACAGTGATGTGCCCAACACTCTAATAAATTTTACCCTCATTCCTTAATCTTGTAAAACATTTTTTACTAGAATAATGACCCATTTTACATTGCTAAGGTCCACCATTACTAGAATAATGACCCATTTTTATATGTTTATCTTGAAAATACAAAATTGAGGACCTTTTTTTTTACAATATTATGGATCTTAGTATTCCATAAACTTGTAAAATGTATCCATAAACTTGTAATATCATAAATAGAAATGATCTCTATTACAAGATTAGAGATAAACTTTACAATGTTATGGAACGGTTAAGTCCTAAACACTATTAAACATGGATGCAATTATATTTTCCTTGGATTTTTGGTCGAAATTATATTTTCCTTGTGAATATTGTCATATAATACTACTTCTTCGAACAGCGAGGCAACGTTTGGAATCCCAATATGCAATTGCCAATTTACAGAACAAATTTTGCACTTTTGCGTTGTTAGTATGAGAATACCAAAATTCATAATCAATAAATAATATCAAATCATCCAAACTTAGTTGTACTTAGTAGGATATTTCATTAAACTCATGGTTATGAGAAATATAAATAATTATAAAAACTATTGATTTGTTTTATTTATGTTATTGGCAGCCTTTTTAATTTTGAGAATGTAAATACATTATGTGATTTGTCAATGCAATTGACAAACAGATAGTGCCATTTGTATTTTAGTTTTGCAATTGACAAACAAAGAATTCTCATTTGCATTCCAATCGTGCAAAGGCTGTGACACCTATTGAACTTGAAATTGATACTTAGGTGACGAGGGGTAATTTAACTAAACAAACAAGACACAACAACTCAACAATCAAGAGAACACACAGAGTATGCCACAAAGTACCTGCAGCCCTAGAAGATTACTAGTGACAACCTAGGCACTCAGAAGGACCCATCAATTTAGGCATCCCCTGTGCTAGCAACAACTATGGTGAAAGTGTGTGAAGTCATCATTATCAAGTAAACAGCAAACAGCAGATATAGACGACTAGTCAACCACCAAGAATACAAACCCAGAAAAATTTACAGATATGCAAAACAGATTTTGTTTACCCAGAAACCCACCATTGGGAAAAACTAGGAGTCATCAACCGACTAGGCAATCCACTAAGTAGAAAAAGATTCTTACAAAGGAATACAAGCAAGCTCAAGCAAAACCTAGATCTATTTAGGAAGATGAGTTTTACCTCCTTTGTGTAATCTTCTTCTCCAACTTAGCAAAGCTTGAAGCTTAGTTCTTCATGGCAATGGCAGCTCCTTCTCAAGCTCGATCATCCCATGGCACTAGCTTGCAAGCTCAAACTCAGACCGAAACCAAACTTTGGATTCAAGGGAGAAAGACCAATTTCTTCAAGAAACCATACTCTTGAAGAAATCAGTCATGAATCCGATCTAGATCTAAATGAGAGAATGATTTAAATAGCTAGATGCAGATTCATATTTCAAAAGCAGTTTTTCAAAAAGAAATCAATTAGAAAAACTCATAGATGAAATATATGGTTGGAAGAAGAAGAGAAAGATGGCAAGCCAATCTTTCCAAAACTTCCACCCAAAAGAGGCGGCTTCCAAATGAGGAATTCACTAGCCTTTACAGACAAAAGAATCCCTTAGGTCAGACTAACACATGGCAGCAGAGAGAGAAAAGAGAATAGGACAAAACAGATGGTTAACCAGCTGGAAATCCTA